AACATCAATATGCTAGTCTGGATGTTTTGAGGAACAAAGGGAAAAAGAGGAGGGAGAGAAAACGATTAGAAGATAAAATGCAAAGTAAAATAAAACAAGTATGAGGCCTTGAAAGAATCAAGATAATTACCATGAAATAGAGTAAGATTGACTCAATTATATGCTTCATCTAAGGTTGAAAACAAAAACAAAAACAACGCAAACAACAAAACAGTTGAATATAAAATTATGCAAATAGTATATAAAGATGAAAAATAAAAAGTTCAGACTGAAAACTAGAGACATATGTGTGTGTGTGTGAGTGTGTGTGAGTGTACACACGCACACTCACACACATTTCCAGTTGGTGGGATATAGATGTTTTATGCTGTTTTTAGAACTTTATTTATTTTGTATATTACCACACCGAAGCTCCTTTCTTATAATCAGAGACAAGGAAAAAAGAAAAGAAAAAGTGCCTAAAGGCATCTATATTTCATTTTGATATTTTCCTTTTTAATGTCATAACATATGAAAATGTAAAGTAAATTAAAAAGATATCAAGCAAAGAAAAAGTCTGAAAGAAAAGGCAAAGGCCTAACTTATGCATACCTCCTGATTATAAGACCAAATACACAGGCAAGGTTGACTGCCTCTCAAAGCTAGTTTTTGCTGCATTTTTAACTGTTTCTATAGCACATATCAAATTCAACATTTTACCCAAGCTCATTAGTTGAAAGACTAAATATGGAGCCTTTGGTTCTCTCCTAAAAGGGTCTCATTACTATGACTAACGTTTAAAAAGAGTATCATTACTAAGCCTGCAAAAATGGTCATGCCAATAATGAGATGGAAAAATCCAGACATGTGGTGCTTTCTAAAGAAATAATGATTTTTTAAAAGGGTAATTCCCTGATGTCAAGGCTTGGCCATTTTTAACTTCCACAAGCTATTTAAAAGATCAGACTTTTGATGCTAAATCAAGAAATCCAGTTTAGACCCTTGCAATTTTGCTGCCTTGGGTCACTAAAACATAGGCCGTAGCTATCCTGGAATTCCAAGAAATTCACAAGTATAGAACACTTGGTCCTAAGAGATGTTGGCAGACCTTTGTAAAATAAGGATGAAAGCAGCTTCATCCCAATACCTCTTACGGTATCCTTTGGTAGAGACAAAGTCCACCAGGACTGTTCTGGGCTGAAAACTCTAAAAATTATTTCAAACTGATGGTATTTCTTTTTTCTTAATAATACACATATCACATTTTATGCTCCTTTATAAAGATTTACAATTTTCTCATCTTTCTGTAGAAATTTAATTCATCTTCTCTTTCCCCTCCTTCCTGTCCTCCTCCTCCTCTTTTTTCACCTTGTTCTTCTTCCTTCTCTTCATCTCCCTCATCCTTCTCCTCCTTTTCCTGCCCCTCCTCCCTTTTCTTCATCTTATTTTTATGTCTTCTTACTTGTTTTTATTACTTTCTTCTTCTTCAGAAAACTAGCTTCTAACTGACTCAAATACATTTCAGGAAGTAGTGCTGGTTATCAACAAAAGAGTTATTATGATGTCACCAGTTTCATTATTTTAACAGACATATATTGAATATCAACCATGGCCAGTAACTAGGCATACCATTTTCATAGACATGGCTACATCCTCTGATGCATTCTGTCCCCAAGATCCTAATTTTATAAATGGAAAAACCAGTGTACATTGTGTATTTCACATAGGGTAGATTCTATGTTAAATTCTTTACTTAAATCATTTTACAAAATATTAAGAATACCCTATGTATTATATCTAATTAGACCATGATACAAATGAAAGAATTGCACTTCAAGAATATACTACATTTCACAGGTCAGTGAAGAAAAACAGTTAGAAAAAGATATATATATATATATCTCAACTGAATCCAGAATTGTCTCATGCCAAAACAAGTACTCTTTCTACTACTAATTTCATTGCCCCCAAGAGATTGAAGGGAGATAATTTAAGTGGCAGAACTAAGTTTAAGACCCACTTATATCAGTATAATTCACTTTCTACTTTAATGCATTGATACTTTTATATAATCTTATTTCAGCTTAACATGGAATTATATATTATTTTTGACATCCAGACTTTGAAATTTTTTCTATTTGTTTCTTCAGCTGGGCAATGTAAAAAAAAAAAATTGTTGTCAACATTAATATGAACTCATTATAAACTGATGACTGGCAATTTTTGTCCCAGTGGCAATATGCAGGACAAAAACTCAGTTCAATTCAAGAAACATTTATTGGTTGGGTGCAGTGGTTCACACCTGTAATTCAAGCATTTTGGGAAGCCAAGGCAGAAGGATTGCTTGAGCCCAGAATTTCAAAATGAGGTTGAGTAACTTGCCCAGACACTGTGAGCTGTGTTCATGTAACTGAACTCCAGCCTGGGTGACAGAGAGAGACCCTGTCTTAAAAAAAGATTATGGAGCATCTATTACGTGAAAGGCACTGTGAGTCTTTCAGGATACAAAGAAAAAATAAAACTATCTCTGATCTCAAAAAACAAACAAAAAAACACACTAAAACAGATAATCACAATTAAATGTACCCATGCCAAGTTAAGGTTAAGCCCTGGGAGCTTTGCCAGCATAGCAGAGGGGAGCCTAAATGTGCAAGGTGAGAGTGAAGAGATGGCAAGGGAGATTCTCTTGAGAAGACGGTTGATGATGAATGTCAATAACAAGAAAAAGTCAACTGGATGGATAAAAGAACAGAAGGCTTTCAGAGGAAGTACTGTGAGCAGAGGCCTAGGGGCAAGAAACACGTGGAGAATTTAGAGGATGGTGATTAGATTAGTTCATCTTAAGCTTAGAGGTCTTGTTGAAGACTAGTGTGAAATGATAAGTGGAGGTTTTCCCTGAAAGGCCCTTTAAGTGAGACTGAGAGACCTGGGATGAATTATCTGGACTGAGGATGGGGTCGTTGTGAATTGGGATTGCTATTAAGAGCCATAGATCAGCAGTATTCTCCTTCCTCTATTGTACTTAAGAGAAATCTGCATCCTAGAGAGAGAAAGTGAGTTTCTCCAACTCACATATAGTCAATTGCCAGAGCCATTTATTCAGTCATTCAATAAACATAATGGTAATTGAGTGCTGATGATGATAAGGATACTGCAAGACCCACAGTGTTCTACCTTCATAGATTTACCTACCACTGAGCATTTAAAAATAACTACCATGTATTGAGCTTTTACAATGTACCAGAAATAGTGATGAGCTGTTTAAGTAAATTATCGTAATTTTAATAGAATTAATTTTAATATAATTATCTTAAAACATAATAGAATTTTTTAATACACTTATCTTAATTTTAATATGAAAATTATCTCACATTACCTACTTCCCACTAGATTCTAAACTTGTAAGAATAGGCAACCTGTCTTATCTCGTTTCATTGATGTATTTTCAGAGCCTAGAACCTTCCTGGCATGTAGTAAAAGCTCAATAAATATTTCCATTAAAAAGTCCTCTTTATTAATTGGCCACTTTTATTAAACCCATTTTTTCATTAAGATTATATAATCCTTCTGACTCTCAGGCCAGAATTCTTGGCTCTGAGCAAATCTTTCCTCTCCTCAGTACCCATCCCATCTCTTTTCACTCTCTGGGAAGCCAGATAAACAACCACAAATATAATCTCATTTTCAAAGAGCTTGATCTTTCCTCCCAAGGCCCTGACATAATCCCCCACATGTGCAGGAAGGCAAATGTGTTTCCCAGAAGCCTCTTCTAAGCAGGAGGCAATAGTCCCATGGTATGGCTTGCAGGTGGTACCCATTCTAACATCAGGGAGACAACTTGGAGGGAAGGTTTCCGCTTGGGACAGGATGGTAGAGCCCTGTCGGGGAAGATTCCCAGGGAACTGTGGAAAAAACCCTACAGATGAATCTGAGGGTGGTTACAAGGGCCCACCTCCAGAGGCTGCGGACCTGATGTAGGGACTGAGATGTCATCAACCCCACCAGAGTGAATGCTGTGTGACTGTAACTTTGTGCACATACTACTCTTTAAGCCCTCTATAAGATTCATCTGTGACCCACAGCTGCTTGCAGAATTCCAGCCCACAATTGGTACCACTTGACCTCCCCAACTCCACCCCTCACTGCATCCTACATACCCCCAGCCCACCCTGACAATCCTCTCCACCAATCCTTTGACTTTTCTTTGAATACTATGTTTAAAATACTAAACATGCATTTGGAATCTAGGTAGTTACATGATCTCAAAGTCGGAAAGAAGCTAAAAGGTCGCTGAGCCCAAATGTCCCATTTAATGCAGAAAAAAGCCCTTCGAAGTGGATTAAATCCTGGATGGTTAAAATGATGTGAACAAATCAATGTTTATTAAGGAAATATTTAGTTCTTTTTTTTTTTTTCTGATACATGGAGTAAGCACACCTCAGAGCCAAGATGGAAAAAGAGGGAATCTTTGGTAAACAAAGATTGACTGAAACAGCAAAGCTTTTTTTATTTAACTGTGCATTAAACTGGTGGTTGAGTGAAAAATTTACAAAGCAATGCAGAAGACTTCATAAGTAAATGGAATACTTTATATAAATAAAATTATAATGTTCCTTGACCTCTTTCAACACACACACAAAAACCCATGGAAGTTCACTAAAGTGACTAAAATACACAGGACTAAAGACAATTAGAAATTATTGAATTATCAATAGAATACATTAGATTTTTAATTTTTGTCAAGCTGTTAGATGTAAAGTGGTCTGTCACTGTTGTTATCTTTGTTTCTGTTTTGGATTGTTCATTTTTACTTTTCTCTTATTATTGGTGAGGTAAAGCATATTTTTATATTTTTAGGCCATTGTAAGCCATTATGTTTTCTATTCTGTCAATTGGCTATATATAATCTTGGCTTATTGAAATTTACATTTTTATTGATTTTAAAGTTCTTTATATATTATGGATACCAATCTTATCTATCTATGAAACACTTCATAATAAAAGATTTTTAAAAGACTTACCTGTAACAAGTCCATTAAAGTATTTATTTTGCCCGAGACGTATTAGTTGTTACTATTTTTCACGTCATTGAAGAAGATGATGAGCCATAAGCAGCAAGTTCATTACATAGGTCACATCCCTGCAATCTAGATTCAGGAGTCTGCATATACCCACTTTTTTCACTGAAGGAAGAGCCCCAGTCGCTAGTTGGAGAGATCGCCTTCATCTTATCATTGTATTTCTTTGAGGAGTGCAGGTTGCTTGTGAATCCGCTAGCACTGAGCCTTTGGGAAGAGAAGTAGGAGAAATAAAACCAGAGATTAATTAAATTCAGCATATCTTTGTTTTTTGTCTGGTTTTTTTTTTAATATAATTTTGTTTTATTTTTTGTTGAAGTACAATCAATAAATATTGCTCAGTATATATTTAAGGTGCACAATGTGATAATTTGATAAATGTGTACATTGTGAAATGATTATCAACATCAAGCTAATTTATACATCTGTCACCTTCTTTCATGTGTGCATGTGGTGAGGACACATAAGATCTACTGCCTTAGCACATTTCAAGTATACAATACAGCCTTGTTAACTACAGTCACCAACATTATTATGCTATGTTTGAGATCCCCAGAAGTTATTCATCTTATAGCTGGAAGTGTGTACATTTTGAACATCTCCCTATTTCTCCCACCTCCTACTCTCTGGCAATCACCTTTCTACTCTCTGCTTCTGTGACTCTGACATTTTTACATTCCACATGTAAGTGAGACCATGCAGAATTTGTCCTTCCATATCTGGTTTATTTCACTTAGCCTGATATTCTTCACGTTCATCCCTGTTGTCACAAGGCAGGGTTTCCTTCTTTTTTCTGGCCGAATATACTTCATTGTGTATATATGCCACACTTCTTTTATCTATTCATCCATTGACAGACACTTTGGGTGTTTCCATATCTTGGCTATTGTGAATATTACTGCAATTAATGTGGGTGTGCAGATACTTCTTTGGCATCTTAATTGCATTTCCCTTGCAATGGAATTAATAGCCATAGTGGGATTTATGGAGCATTTTTTAGTGGTTCTACTATTCATTTTTTGAGGAACCTCCAAACTGTTCACCTTAATGGCCATGCCAATTACACTCTTACTAATAGCGTAAGGGTTCCCTTTTCTCCATAGCCCCACCAACACTTGCTATCTCTTGTCTTTTCGATAATAGCCATCCTAACAGGCATGAGGTAATATCCCAATGTGATTTTTATTTGCAGTTCCCTGATGATTAGTGCTGTTGGGCACTTTTTAACATACCCGTTGGTCACTCATATGTCTGTCTGTGAGAAATATCTATGCAAATCTTTTGCCTATTTTTAGGCTTGTATGTTGTTATTTTGTTTTGTTTTCTTAGAGTTTTGCTAAGTTGTATGAATTTTTAATACATTTTTGATATTAATTCCTTATCAAATGTATAGTTTGCAAATACTTTCTCCCATTCTGTGGGTTGTCTTTTCATTTTGTTGATTGTTTTCTTTGCTGTGCGGAAACATTTTAGTTTAATATAGTCCCATTTGTTTGTTTTTGGTGTCTGTGATTTTTGTGTCATATTTTTAAAAATCATTGCCAAGACCAAAGAGATTTTTCCCTACATCAAAGAGCTTTTCCCTTATGTCTTTGTGTACACATTTTACAATTTCGGATCTTACATTCTTTAATTCATTTCTAGCTAAGTTTTGCCTGTGATATAAGAGTTCAGCTCTATTCTTTCACTTGTGGATATCCAGTTTCCCAACACTATTTATTTAAAGACTTTCATCACTGTGTATTCTTGGAGTTTTTGTCAAAGATATGACCTTATAGGCATGGGTTTGTTTCTGGGTCCTGTATTCTGTACCATTGGTTCATATGTCTATTGTTTTAATGCCAATGCCATATTTTTGAAATTACTATAGGTTTGTAATATAGTTTGAAATCACGACGTATGATTCCTCCGGCTTTGTTCTTGCTCAAGATTGTTTGGGCTATTCAGGGTCTTTAGTGGTTTCAGGTAAAGTTTAGGACTGTTTTATCTATTTTCATGAAAAAATACCATTGAAATTTTGATATGGATTGCATTGAATCTGTAGCTTGCTTTGGGTAGTATGGATATTTTAACAATATTACTTATTCCAGTCCATGTACATAAAACATCTTTCCATTTAGTTGTATCTTTTTCAACTTCTTTAATCAATATCTTACAGTTTTCACTGAACAGGTCTTTCATTTCCTTGGTTAAAATTTTTCTTAAGTATTTTAGTTTATTTCTGATGTTATTGGTAAATGAGAATATTTTCTTAATTTTTTAAAAAATAGTTTAATAGTATATATAAATGCAACTGATTTTTGTCAGCATCTCTTAATGAGGACACTGAAGAAGGGACAGAAGAACTGATATATAAGCAATAACTGCAATAGGAACACAAATTTTCTAGACAAACTGAGATTTATAATTTGCAAAGCACTTCATATTATTAGATCTTATCTCATTGGATCTTCCTAGAAATAGCCTTAGTATTTTCTCTGTTTCACTGAGAGAGAAATCAAGGTTTGAAGGAGTGTCTAACTAAGTTCATACAGCTAACAATTAGCAAGGCAGGGGTTCAAAATTATTATCTTCTAGTCCTAGATCCTTTTGTCTGTTATTTGAGGGCAGATATATTTTGATGAATTGGCATATAAGCTGCCTGTGCTAGAGCTTCAGTTCACTAACAGAACCACAAAATATATTTTATAATGTAAATTGCTTGTGCTGTTAAAAGTGCATTTACTTTCCCAATTTTTAAAAAGTGAAAGGATGAGCGCAAAAGCCAGTAAATTAAAAAGTAAAATTCTCTGCAAGCTAACCTGACACACAAGAGTCCAGATGTTCATCAACTTCTATTAAAGGCCATTTACACAAGAATTTCCTTGCTCCACACAAGCAACCACATGAATTATCATTGCAATAATAATAATAATAATAATAAGACTTGCTTTATTCATTCTTCACTAACCAGCCCTGGTACAGAAGCCAAATAGAACGTTTTACTTCCCTCAAATACACATTTTGACATATGCATTTTTATTTTCTTAAGAGTTGTCATTGTTATGTTCTCACAAACTGTCACCAAATGACTGGCTCTGTGAGGCTTTTATTGATCTTGGGGGTCCACTCATAATGCTGCCCTTCAGAACCTGAATAAACTCAGATGCTCAGCCGCAGTTTCCAGAATCCATTTCTCTCAAGTCCCATGGTCCCCAGTAAATATCTTTGTTTTTAATGTCCCCTTTTCATTTTATTTTTGCTCATTGAAATACCATTTGGTTCAAATGAAAACTTAAAGCCTTTTTCCAATACTGTCCCTTCTCTTTTGCATGTGCAAATGTCACTCTGTAACTCATTGCCATTAGCACACTATACCAGCTGCTTGGGAAGGCCTTACCTGCCCTATGAGCCTACAAGCTCCTTGAGGGAAGGGACTGATAGGTCAGAGACAGCCTTTTGTAAGTCTGGACTATGTTCATGTTAATGCTCTTGCTCTTTGTTAAGGGCCAGATTCACAGATATGCTGCAGAGGATGTGCTGTGTTTTCCTGCACGTGTGGTGGGGGATGCAGCTTCCGTTGAGGCTCTGAGTAGCAAGCGATGACCATAAAGGCATTTTACCACACCCTTCTCATCACCTCAGCAATCAGAAACACTGATCCCAAAGGAAAGACAATCTTAGAGTACTCAGGGTAAAGAGACAGAGTGCTCACTCATTCAACAAATATCTATTGGGCATCTTCCATGTGCCAGACACTGTCTCAGGGGCTGGGGATAGGAGGCTGGAGGAGTTCCTGAGACTCACAGTGCTTATAATAAGATGATAGGTATAGACAATACATCAAATAAGTGAAACGAGTCACATGTTTAATGGGAGAAATTGTATGCAAAAAAAAAAATAAGATGATGATAGTTAACATTAATTTGATTGCACATTTCAAGATTGCTAGAAGAGAATAAGTTGAATGTTTCTAGCATAATGAAAAGCTAAATATTTAAGATGTTGGATATCCTAATTACCCTGATTAGGATTGTATGAAGGTATGAAATTATTACATGTACTCCCAAAATATGTACATCAAATATGTATCAATATAAATAAATAAATAATAAAGCAGGAAAATGAGACAAGATTTCAGTGGGAATATTATATAGGGTGGTCAGAAAGGGCTTTCTTGAGAAGATGTCTTTGGAGCAATGACCTGAAGAGGTGACGAAGTGACCCAGGCACATATTTATGGTACCTTACCTCTAGTCAGAGGAATAGTGAGTGCAGAGGCCCAAGGAAAGAGCAAGCGTAGCATGTTGGAAGAGGGACAAAGAGTCTAAGATAGTTGGTGTGGAGACAGAAAAGAAAAGGTTGTTGACATCATGGGGAGGCAGATTGGAGAGGCATTTGTAGGCCGTTTTAAGGACAGGCTTCCAGTCTGAGCAAGTTGCAAAATTTAAGAGCGTTTTAAGCTAAGGAGAGCTGTTATCTGATTTATGTTCTAAAAAAGCTGCTTAGTTTTCTGCCTTGAAACTAGGGGAATGGGATAGCAGCAAAGACATTATTAGTTAGGAGGCTCCTGCACTAATCTAGCAAAATACAATGGCATCTTGCTGTGGAAGGGGGATAAGTGGATGAATTCTGTATTCATTAATGGATTGGAGATGATGAGGGATGTTGAACAAAAGAGGTCAAAGGTTACTCTAGCAACTGCAGGTTAGAACAGGCACTTCATGAGGTAGGGAAAACTACTAGAGAGCAAGTTTCTTTATTTGCTGTATGTGTGGAAGATAAAAGGTTGGGTTCTAGTCATGTTAAGTTTGGGATGCTGATTAGACGTACGCAAAGAAATACTGATCAGGCAGTTCATTTAATAAACAAATCTGAAAGTCCAAGAAACAGGTCTGGGCTAAAAAATAAAATGTTTTATATTTATCTGAAATAAGAATGCTTTTTCACCCAAAAATATTAACCCTAGATAAGAAAGTGTCCAAAGACGAAGACCTGGGCATTTCAATATTAAGAATTCCAAAGGAGACTAAAGTGTGAGCAGAAAGAACAAGAAAAACAAGGAGAGTTTGATGTTCTAGAAATAAGCGAACATAATATTTTAAGGGAAAGCCATTATAAAGTGACTATAGCTTCTCAAGAAAACATAGTTGGTTGCTTGGTCCTTTAAGGCTGCTGCATCTCAAAACAGCCTGACAAAGGTAGGATAGAAAAATGGAAAAAGAAAT